AACAGCAAGGGCTAAAACACACAAATAAGACAAAAGATTACACTGCAACGACAAAAATACTACTTCAACATCAGTTGAAGTAGTATTACTAGTAAAATTACTATTTTAAATTATTCAAAATTACTTCAACTGGCAATAAACAGAAATAAAACGCTAAGGTGGTAGGCAGAGTTATTGGTGATTGATCAAGCAGGACTATACTTTAATACATGGTCTAAAAATGGCTGACACACATCAAAGAAATTACTAAGTTTGTCCGCTAATGTATACCTAATTCTCTCCATATGCAGTAGAGCAGTCAGTTCTGTTAGCCACATTTTGAATTGAGGTACAATATCTGACTTCCAGAGAGTCAAGATTCAGTTCGAAACTATAAAATTATTGACCTTGGTTCGTGGATTAGAGGATGAAAAAAGAAGAGCAGGGAGGGAACTATTCTCAACCCCACCACTCTCTATGACCACCCAAGGTGGGGTATCGGCAGACATGACCTTTTTGTACCCTTCCTGCCAGTAAGCAAGAGTTCTAGCATTTGCAGCCCAATAATAAAACTGAAACAGCGGCAGAGCAAATCCACCCTTAAGTTTAGACTTACATAGATGAACTTTTGATATCCTGTGAGTTTTAAAGCTCCAAACAAATGGTAATACTACTGAGTCGATCACTTTAAAAAATTGCTTATAAAAAAAAAATAGGTAAATTTAAAAATAAATATAAAAATTTAGGAAGGGAAACCATTTTAATTTCATTAATGCGACCTATCATGGAAATAGGGAGAGCCCTCCATTTCGCAATGTCCTTTTTCAATTTTTCAACTTAAACATCAATTTAGGAACCTTAGGCAAAATAACACCCAAGTATTTCAATCTGTCTGTAATTTTAAAAGGCAAAACTTTCAAAATTGCAGTTAAAGCCACAAACTCACTCTTCTGCCAATTAATTGTATAACCTGAGATTTCCCCAAACGACCTCACCACATCTAAAAGTACAGGAACAGATCGCTCAGGATTTGACAAGAACAAAACTACATCATCCGCGTATAAAGAAATGTAGTGCTTGATATTCCCCAATCGGACAGGGTCAATAGAGGGCTCAATCCTAATGGCTACTGCAAGAGGTTCAATAGAAATTGCGAAGAGCAAAAGGCTCAAAGGGCAGCCTTGTCGTGTCCCACGGTGTAAAAAAAAAAAAAAGGCGCTGATCAATCTTGGTTAGTAAGAATGGAAGAAGAGGGATGCCTATATATCATATCAACCCATGATATAAACTGTTCGCCTAAACCAAACTTCTCCAGTACCCGAAGCATATAGGCCCACTCGACCTGGTCAAATGCCTTTTCAGCATCTAAGCTCAGTACTGCGATCTTGGAAGCTCCCTAGTGCCTATGATACATAATGTTCATCAATATTCGAACATTAAAGAAGGAAAACCTCTGTGGAACAAACCCAGTTTGATCCAGATGGATAATTGATCCAACATGTCCATTTAATCTGTTTGCCAAAATTTTAGTGAAAATTTTCATATCCAAATTCAACAAAGCAATAGGTCGATAAGAGGGACATTCTGTTTCATCCTTTCCTTCTTTCAATAACAAAGAAATATTAGCTTCATATAGTGTACGGGGAAATCTTTGAGTATGGAAAGAATGCTTAAACATTCTCAATAAAAGCGGGGCCACCTTTTCAGAGTATTTTTATACAGTTCAATGCCAAACCCATCTGGGCCTGGGGACTTTCCATTGGAGAATGACTTAATAGTTTTTGAAACTTCTTCAATAGTAATATCTGAGTTTAAAGCCTCTCGTGCAGCGTCATTCATTTTCGGGGGATCCAGCTTCCCTAACCAATCAGCAATATTTCCCCAAGATTTCGACATATAGAGCTCTTCATAATATTCTCTAAATCGCTCATTAAGAGCTTTAGGGCTAATTAAAATTTCGCCTGATCTTGATTAAATTTTGTGCGTAGCCCTACTGGCCTGTAGGCCTCTTAGCTGCCGAGAAAGAAGCTTATGGGGCTTATCTCCAAACTCAAAATGCTTCTGTCTGATCCTAAATAGCTGATCTGTTACTTGACTAGATAAAATTGTGTTATACTCAAACTTCCTTTTAATGATGTCTTGAAACAAAGAGGGACAAGAAGAGGCCTTGTGGTCCTGTTCTAACTGTGTTAATTCAGCTTTGAACAGGCGTTTCCGGCGTTCTTTTTTTTAACGAAGATTCAAAAGAAATAATTTCTCCTCGCATTACCACTTTAAATGTTTCCCATAAAATCGAATCAGAAACGTTTATCATTAGTTTCCAAGAAATCTGATATTTTAGTTGTCATAAATTGGCAAAAGGATGTCTCAGACAGGAGTGACGGGTGAAAACGCCAGTTACCCTATTGTTTTGTACCACAGAAATCCAGGACTAAAGAGGTTGGAGAGTGATCTGAGATCAATATGTTATGATAAGTTGAGCATACAACTTTATGATCAACCTATCTCTAATAATTGGCTATGTACCACAGGCCTTCAAGCTGGCTGTAGTTAAACCTTTACTTAAAAAGCATCTCTAGACCCAGCTGTCTTAGCTAATTATATGGAAATCTCCAACCTTCCTTTCATGTCAAAAATCCTTGAAAGAGTAGTTGTCAAACAGCTAACAGATCATCTGCAGAGGAATGGCTTATTTGAAGAGTTTCAGTCAGGTTTCAGAGCTCATCACAGCACAGAAACAGCTTTAGTGAAGGTTACAAATGATCTTCTTATAGCCTCTGACAGTGGACTCATGTGCTTGTCCTGCTAGACCTCAGTGCAGCGTTCGATACTGTTGACCATAATATTCTATTAGCGTGATTAAAGCATGCTGTAGTTTGTATCACATTTATCTAATTGACTCCAAATTGTTCATCTAAATGGAGAGTCCTCTTCATACACTAAGGTCAACTACGGTGTTCCACAGGGTTCAGTGCTAGGACCAAGTCTGTTTACATTATACATGCTTCCCTTAGCCTGAAACGCTCGCCTGATATTGACACTTAAGTATGGGTCTGTCGATTGATTTAACTGACTTCAAGTTCCACACCACATGGCCGCTGGACCTGCTAACCGCTCCTTCCTCGCTAGACTGCTATTACAAGTCCAATCACTGTCTTGCAAGCTCCATGACCTGGATGACTGAGAAACTACACAGAGATTTATGTAGTTTCCAAGGAGTCAGGTATGGATGGCTAACTCTGTGCCTTAATCTTGGCAGGTTAGAAAACACTAATGACACATGTCATCTGTGTCATTACAGTTAAGATAATTAGACCATTGGAAATATTACAAAAGATTTACCAGTCTTTATTCTTGTAAGAGCTCCGGGTATTTATAGGTGTAAGCTGTTTTTTTTTCCTTTTCCATTTCTTTTCTTTTTTCTTTTTCTTTTTTTTTGCCATCAGCATTAAGATGGTGTTTTCTGAGAGCCAAAACTCAGCATTTAAAATATTGATCTTTCTCCTGTGTTGAACTAATTCTTCATGATTCCTCCACAGAGTGGACCAGCAGAGCTCAGAGGTTCCCAGTAGTCAGTCTGCCCAGCAGCATCAAACACAGCTGGACTCCATATTTATGGTCTGTACATGTACAACTACTTTTACATCTATTCTATTCAGTCATTTCTCAAAAAGAACGGCTATTTATACTTCAAACATATTGCAAGTATTGGTTTTTCATAGTATTAATTGCAAGATAAGACAAGTTAAAAGCACAACTAAACACTGTTTCAAATAAACAATGAGCTTTGGCAGCTGGGCTGGTCAAAAAAAATGTGTTTGTAATTTTATCTATACCCATGACCACCTTGACACATATTGCTACAGACATGTCCTTTAATTTTTGGCTGTCATGGTAGTGTCTAATAAACTATGTAAGCTGGATAAATGATTGGAAAACTTTAGAAAAAGTTATTTATCATATTATTATAGCATTTATTCCAATCTAAACAATGCAAAGTTGAGTTATCTGATCTCAGAATTTGATTTATTTTTTTGCTTGTTTTTTTAAACATTCCAATTTAACAACCTCCCTTGAACATACTGACTACAATTACCATGATGTAGCAATATTCACTCTGTTTCCAGAATCAAAATATGCTGTGGACTGCAACAGAAATATGATTATGACAACACCTTCATATCTCCTGGCTATTTCTGTCTGTTGTTCCTGGTCTCCCTCTGTTCATTGTTCCTCTCTTCTTCCACTGCACCACCATTTGAGGTTGTAATGTAACATATTAATTGACACAATACTCTATTCCAGCTACTGCAGGACAACATCATCACTTTTGTGAAGAATGAACTGAAGAAGATTCAAAAGGTTGTCAGTCCAGATTATCCGAAATACTTGGAAGGTCAGAGAACGGTTGAGGAGAAAGTGGGTGAGGATGAGGAGCAGAGGAGGAGCAGCAGAGAGGCATTTGTGAAGATCACATTGGACTTTTTAAGGAGAATGAAGCAGGATGAGCTAGCTGACCTTCTGCACAAGAGTAAGAGGATTTCTATAAAGATTTAAGCTGCTGGTTGAACAGGTTGTTTACTAATGTCTAACCCTAAAGTGATAGTCAAACATAAATATAAAAATTCTGGACTGATATTTGTTGTCTATTCTGCTGTACAATCTCAAGTGCCTTGATGCGAATGTTGTTGTGATTTGGCGCTATATAAATAAAATTGAATTGAATTATTCTTTCTTTTAGGAACTTCTAATAGAGACGTCTATTGGTGTGAGTTTAAACTTAAATCTACACTAAAGAAGAAGTTCCAGTGTGTATTTGAGGGGATCGCTAAAGCAGGAAACCCAACCCTATTGAATCACATCTACACAGAGCTCTACATCACAGAGGGAGGGACTGCAGATGTCAATGATGAACATGAGGTCAGACAGATTGAAATGGCCTTCAGGAAACCAGACAGACCAGAGACAACAATCAGACAAGAAGACATCTTTAAAGCCTCACCTGGAAGAGATGAACCAATCAGAACAGTGCTGACAAAGGGAGTGGCTGGCATTGGGAAAACAGTCTTAACACAGAAATACACCCTGGACTGGGCTGAAGACAAAGCCAACCAGGACATCCAGTTCATATTTCCATTCACTTTCAGAGAGCTGAATGTCCTGAAAGAGGAGAAGTTCAGCTTGGTGGAACTTGTTCATCACTTCTTTACTGAAACCAAAGAAGCAGGAATCTGCAGCTTTGAAGACTTCCAGGTTGTGTTCATCTTTGATGGTCTGGATGAGTGTCGACTTCCTCTGGACTTCCACAAAACTACAATTATAACTGACCCTAGAAAGTACACCTCAGTGGATGTGCTGCTGATAAACCTCATCAGGGGCAAGCTGCTTCCCTCCGCTCACGTCTGGATAACCACAAGACCTGCAGCAGCCAATCAGATCCCTCCAGAGTGTGTTGGTATGGTGACAGAAATCAGAGGGTTTGCTGACCCACAGAAAGAGGAGTACTTCAGGAAGAGATTCAGAGATAAGAAGGAGGCAAGCAGGATCATCTCCCACATTAAGACATCACGAAGCCTCCACATCATGTGCCACATCCCAGTCTTCTGCTGGATCACTGCTACAGTTCTGGAGGATGTGCTGGAAACCAGAGAGGGAGGACAGCTGCCCAAGACCGTGACTGAGATGTACATCCACTTCCTCGTGGTACAGGCCAAGGTGAAGAAGATCAAATATGATGGAGGAGCTGAGACAGATCCACACTGGAGTCCAGAGAGCAGGAAGATGATTGAGTCTCTGGGAAAACTGGCTTTTGATCAGCTGCAGAAAGGAAACCTGATCTTCTATGAATCAGACCTGACACAGTGTGTCATTGATATCAGAGCGGCCTCTGTGTACTCAGGGGTATTCACACAGATCTTTAAAGAGGAGAGAGGACTGTACCAGAAAAGACTGTTCTCCTTCATCCATCTGAGTGTGCAGGAGTTTCTGGCTGCTCTTCATGTCCATCTGACCTTCATCAACTCTGGAGTCAATCTGCTGGAAGAACAGCAAACAACCTCCCAGACACGTGAAACAAGAGAATCTGCAGAGACACACTTCTACCAGAGTTCTGTGGACAAGGCCTTACGGAGTCCAAGTGGACACCTGGACTTGCTCGTCCGCTTCCTCCTTGGTCTTTCACTGCAGACCAATCAGACTCTCCTACAAGGTTTGCTGACAAAGACAGGAAATAGTTCACAGAACAATCAGGAAACTGTCCAGTACATTAAGAAGAAGATCAATGACAGTCTGTCTGTAGAGCAAAGTATCAGTCTGTTCCACTGTCTGAATGAACTGAATGATTGTTCTCTAGTGGAGGAGATCCAAAGGTCCCTGAGTTCAGGAAGTCTCTCCACAGACAAACTGTCTCCTGCTCAGTGGTCAGCTCTGGTCTTCGTCTTACTGTCATCAGAAAAAGATCTGGATGCGTTTGACCTGAAGAAATACTCTGCTTCAGAGGAGGCTTTTCTGAGGCTGCTGCCAGTGGTCAACATCTCCAACAAAGCTCTGTAAGTAAATATGTACTCATTTTAAAGATTTTTGTAACAAAATGATATAAAGTGTATTTGTCTTGTCTACATGAAACAAAACTATTTTCAATAATAATTGTTTCAGACTAAGTGGCTGCAACCTCTCAGAGAGAAGCTGTAAGGCTCTGTCCTCAAGTCTGACCTCCCCGTCCTCTAGTCTGATGGAGCTGGACCTGAGTAACAATGATCTGCGAGATTTAGGAGCGAAACTTCTGTCTGCAGGACTGGAGAGTCCATATTGTACACTGGAAACTCTCAGGTTAGAATTCAGACAGTCAAGCAGTCATTTACCCTTCAGAAGTCAAAAGTGTAACTGGCTATTTTTCACTAACTGTATTGTGACCTTTCTATTATTTTACATTAAAAAAAAAAATGTCGCGTTTGTTGGCATTCTATTCAACACAACCTCACATTTAAATTGGCAGTTCCTTTGGGTTTTTTTTTTTCATTTTGACGTACTGCCTTAACACAACCTAAAATCTAAAAAAAAAAACCCACTTAAAAACAATGTTTTTTATTTTTATTTCTTAGCGTTAAATCACCAACATGTTTAAGAAATCATTTAAAACTTTTGTCACGGGGCCGAGTGGCCTGTACTGAACAGGACTCAGGTGCAGAAACCCAGAGCAGAGACAGCAGATGATGTGACAATTTAATAGGCGTAAGTGCAAAAAACGTAGCAAGGACAAAAAACAATAAGACGTGGAGTTTGACGAGGCGTGGCCTGGGAAACGTGGCTAGGGCGAGGGAATGAGGCCTGAGATGCAGAGTGGAGCTGAACAGGGAACAGTCACACTGAAGAGAGAAGATAGTGGAGTTAGGGAGGTAGTGGAGGCAGCTCTGAAGTGGCAAGTTGTAAGGGTAGCAATTCTTACTTGCAGTAGGGGACATGGAGCGTTGAGAGGGGGATGAGAGAATCCAGGGGGGCTGAGTGGCGTGGAAAGGCTGACCTGAGATCCGGGGCTTCAGATTGAGTGTGATGGCAGGAGGGCAGGCAGGTGAGGCACAGAGAGATTTTCAAAATGATTGCTTGGTATCCTGAGTCTGGAGGTGGAGCATGAGTCAAGGTGAATACAGCAACTGCAGAACAAGAGAGTCTGGTTAACAAGATAAATCACAGCAAGAACTTGAAGTATAAGGCCTGTTACCAACATGTGTTGATGACGAACTGGCAGTGAATGAACATCAACGTGTGGCTTAAATCCCTCTGGCTTGATTGCCTGCAATAGACTCCAGGTGTGCAGGAGCTGGAGGAGCTGGCCCTGCCCAGGGGCAGATCCCAGGTAGGTTCAGGAGCCTTATGGAAATTCCAGCGACCCACTGCAGACCATGACAACTTTAGCCGCTAATATTAACTAGAGCAAAAATGTACTGCTATTGAGTATAGTTTACCTTTCTTTCACTAGAGGAAGCCAAACGCACCATGACTGTAGTTTGCCATTCATACCACTAGATGGACTGTAGTTTCATATTCATTTCAATAGGACCAAAATTTGTGCAGAAATTTGATATATTAAAACGTATAAAGGGTTATAACCATCAAAAGTCATAGAACACCATTTGCGATCAAGCCAGACGAAACTATATAACATATTTTAACATCCCTCCGACAGAAGACAGAGACGATCGGTGATCTGGTTACCGGGTGTTTTTTAAGAACAGTAACACAGGCTACTGTGGGCCGTAGCCAATGCCAAAACTACAAGGGAAAAAACGTGCTCCCCTGAATCAAAACAAAAGTTTTTACAGAACCCCCGATAGAACCCGGCCATGCCCAGAAAGCGACGCAACGTGCGTCGAGTTTGTGACACTGGAAAGTCCACAACCGCCTGAACTTTTTCAGTCATGGGCCATACCTGCTCTTGTCCCACTTGCTTGACCAAATAGGTAATAGTAGCCTTCCCGAACTCACATTTAGAAAGGTTGAGCGTGAGGGAGGCACCGTTGAACCGCCCAAACACCTCAGAAAGTGTTGCGAGATGTTCAGGCCACGAGGTAAAATAGACAACTACGTCGTCCAAGTATGCCTCGCACTTAGACACTCCACACAGCACCTGCCTCATAAGGCGTTGATACGTTGTGGGCACATTACGTAACCCGAAAGGCATCACTGTGTATTGGAGGAAGTGATCGGACGTTACAAACGCAGAGATCTCCGAAGCGGTAGGTGTTAATGGAACCTGCCAGTACCCCTTTAATAGGTCCAGCTTCGTAACATACTGAGCAGAACCAACACGATCGAGGCAATCTTCCATCCGCGGGAGCGGAAACGAGTCTGGTTTGGTAACCGCATTCACTTTCTGGAAATATTGTCCGCTTTCGCTACCAGAATACAAGGCGAGCTCCACGCGTCATGACTGAAAATGGCAAGGCCATGCTCAATGAGATATTCAACTTCCTACTGCATCAAGCTCCGCTTTGTGGAGTTTACACAATAAGCATGCTGTTTTATCGGCCTGTCAGTTTCCACCGTGATGTCGTGACACAGGACAGATGTTTGCCTACGGTAGTCAGAAAACAAAGGTTGATGAGCTTTCACTAACGCAAGGACATCCCTACGAGCAGGGGGTGGCAAATGAGAGAGGGAGGACTCCAAAGTGGCCAACATCTCGCAATTCCCATCTCCAAGCCCCCAGTATACAGCCACTTTTTTCCATCAAACTATCGTCTTGTGGGTGGTACTCAGCCGGCCCAGCACACACTGAACTGGGCACCACAGAGCAAATTACATCACCGGTAGCGAGCTCTTTGGACACATAGCATGTGAGCATATTAACATGACACACTTGCAACTTTCGCTTCCGGTCAGGCATTTTAATAACACAGTTAGTATCACTTATTTTCCGATCCACCTCATAAGGACCAGAAAATTGAGCTCGAAGGCTAGACACAGTCACTGGAAGCAAAACCAGCACCTTCTCCCCCGGGGCAAAATTCCGAACCACGGATTTCTTGTCAAAACGTGCTTTCATACTGCCCTGGGCTCGCCTCAAGTGGTCGCAGGCCAACTGCACGAGAGAGACGTTCCTTAAAAGCACACATATAATCCAACACATTATCCTCCACCCGATGTGATTCGGACAACCATTTCTCCTTAAGTAATCGCAACGGCCTGCGTACCGTGTGTCCAAAAACAAGATCAGCTGGGCTGAAACTGAGGGATTCCTGCTTGGCGTCTTGAAGGGCAAACAGCAATAAGGGAAGCTAACTCAGAGGAGCGATTGCTTACCTAGCCCCCCAAAAACATAACCAAACAACTATCCCTTACCTCCATGACTAACTAAACATGAGAAAAGTGTACCCAACTGAAAAGGCGATCCACTCCTACTTCCTCATGACTTGCAGAGCAACACAGGGCATGTCGCAGCCCCAGCTGGTTGGGGTAAAACCGAGGATGGATGATTGCCGTCCTCAACCGCGCCATCTTATACTCCGCCTCCAGAGCAGCATCCAGTCCTGGTGTACCATCTTCGGGATCCACCACTCCTGGAGGCGCACCTGCACACTCACATTTGCATGTCATAATCCCAGCCCACGATGGCAGCCGTAACAGCAGTGTGTGTGACATTCCATCATTGTCCAACACCAAACAAACAAACAAACAAAAAATATCTAAATTGCACACTACCTACTAACTGTGTAAATTCTCTGTTATAACTGGTTTTCCTTGGCCTATAAAAAAAAAACTATTACAATATTACATATCAGAATTTGATGAAATTGTCTATTTCTTCTTAAACAAATAAAACAAGAAATCTCACAAAGTTTTCTTCAGGTGTTTGAGGGTGCATGGAATTTATCCAACAAGTCTACATGTATCTTGTGGACTTGGCATTTGACTATCATTCATTTGTTTATGACAAATAAAATTTGAATTTGAATGGGTATTTTATCCATAAAAATAATTGAAAATAAGCCTTTAGTGAAGTGTTAACAAATGTATTGCTTTTTTTGTGTGTGTTTATATAGTCTATCAGGCTGTCTGATCACAGAGGAAGGCTGTACTTCTCTGGCTTCAGCTTTGAGCTCCAACCCCTCCCATCTGAGAGAGCTGGACCTGAGCTACAATCATCCAGGTGCCTCAGTCCAGAGTTTGTTGGCTGGACTGAAGGATCCACATTGGAGACTAGACACTCTCAGGTATGGAGAGAATGTCTGATAGAGGAGGAAAAGTTGAAAACATCTGCTGTGTCCTACATTCAGTTCCTGATTGTTTCATGCAGATGTCACAAATGAAGGGAAGTTTTTTTTCTTGCTCATTCCAGACAATCTAAAGAGCTTGAAAAGAGCAACTGGGCTTTTTCTTGCAGACATTTCATATGAGAAGCTTCTTCAGTTCTAAAGTCAAATTTTGGAGAGACTTAGGTATTTAATTTAATTTAAAATTTGGTTATCCCTAAAAGGGGTCGTTGACCCATTATTAATTATGTGCCTCATCATATGAGCCAAGGTGTGAAATAGATAGAAATGTTCAGCTGAGTCTTTCCCTGTAAAGGTAGCTGCCATCTTTGTCCCACATCTTGGGTAGCACTGCTCTGTGCTGTCAGGGTCCCGTGTATGGGGTGGGCTATGTTGTCCAACAGGGATGACATCTTAGCCACCATTCTACTTTCTCCATTCTTACTCACCAGCTCCACTGGGTCTAGAGGGCATCCTAGAACAGAGCTGGCCCTCTGGATCAACCTGTTCAGTCTCTTCCTGTCACCAGTAGAGATGCTGCCGCCCTAGCAGACCACACCGTAAAAGATGGCTGAGGCCACCACAGAGTCACAGGTCTTCAGGAGTGGGCCCTTCACTCCAAAAGACCTCAGTCTCCACAGCAGGTACAGCCTGATCTCCCCTCTTCTGTAGAGGGTGTTTAAATTGTGAGTCCAGTCAAGTTTATTGTTCACATGTACACCAAGGTACCACAGCCTCAATGTCCATACCTTGGATGTTTAGTGGTTGAAGTTAAGGATGTTTTTGCTTGTGGAAGTCTACCACCAGCTCCTTGGTTTTTCTTGTGTTCATCTGGAGGTAGGTCTGCTGGCACCAGTCCTCAAAGTCACTGGGTGAGGTGTTCCAGAACATGCCCGGAACACCTCACCCAGGAAGCGCCCAGGATGCATCCTTGTCAGATGCCCAAACCACCTCAGCTGGCTCCTTTCAATGTGGAGGGGAAGCAGCTCTACTCTGAGCCCCTCCCAGATGGCTGAACTTCCCTACCCTCTCCTATCTCTAAGGGAGAGACCAGCCACTGTTCGGATGAAGCTCATTTCCACTGCTTGTATCTGTGATCTTGTTCTTTTGGTCACTACCCACAGCTTGTGACCATAGGTGAGGGTAGGGACGTAGATCAGACAGGTAAATTGAGAGCTTCGCTTTTGCGCTCATCTCTCTCTTCACCGCGACAGACCGGTGCAGCGGCTGCCGCAGCACCAATCCGTCTGTCGATCTCTGGCTCCCTTCTCGCATTACTCACAAACAAGATCCCGAGATACTTAAACTCCTCCCTTTGGGGTAGGAACTCGTCCCCGACCCAGAGTGGGCACTCCATCCTTTTCCGGCTGAGAACCATGGCCTCGGATTTGCAGGTGCTGATCCTCATTCCCGCTGCTTCACACTCGGCTGCGAACCGCTCCAGTGCGAGCTGGAGGCCATCACCCGATGAAGCCAACAGAACCACATCATCCGCAAAAATCAGAGATGAGATTCTGACGCCACCAAAGCGAAAGCCCTCCGCCACTTGGCTGCGCCTAGAAATCCTGTCCATAAAAATTATGAACAGAACCGGTGACAAAGGGCAGCCCTGGCGGAGCCCATCTCCCACCAGGAACGAGTCCGACTTATTGCCGGCAATGCGAACCAAGCTCTTGCAACGGTTGTATAGGGATCGAATGGCCCGTAGCAATGGGCCAGATACCCCATACTCCCGCAACACCTCCCACAGGACACCCCGAGGGACACGGTCGAATGCCTTCTCCAAGTCCACAAAACACATGTAGACTGGTTGGGCAAACTCCCATGCGCCCTCAAGTATCCTTGAGAGGATAAAGAGCTGGTCCAGTGTTCCGCAACCAGGACGAAAACCGCATTGTTCCTCCTGTATCCGAGGTTTGACTAGCGGACGAACTCTCCTTTCCAGCACCCTGGCATAGACTTTCCCAGGGAGGCTGAGGAGTGTGATCCCCCTGTAGTTGGAACACACCCTCCAGTCCCCCTTTTTAAAAATGGGGACCACCACCCTGGTCTGCCAGTCCAGGGGTACTGCCCCTGATCTCCATGCAACATTGCAGAGGCGTGTCAACCAGGACAGCCCTACAACATCCTGAGCCTTCATGAACTCGGGGAGGACCTCATCAACACCAGGGGCTCTGCCACCAAGGAGTTGTTTAACTGCCTTAGTGACTTCGCCCCCGTAAATTGGCGGGTCATCGCCCTCATCCCCATACTCTGCTCCCTCCTTGGAAGACTTGTCAGTGGGATTAAGGAGGTTGTCCAAGTATTCCTTCCACCGCCCGACTATTTTCTCAGTCGAAGTCAACAGCACTCCACCAACACTATCCACAATACTGGTAGAGCACCGCTTTCCACTCCTGAGACACCTGACAGTTTACCAGAATCTCTTTGAGGCAGTCCAAAAGTCTTTTTCCATGGCCTTTCCGAACTCCTCCCACACCTGAGTTTTTGCTTCAGCCACTGCCTCAGCCACAATCCACTTTGACTGTCGGTACCTGTCAGCTGCCTCCAAAGTCCCACAGGCTAACCAAGCCTGACAGGATTCCTTCTTCAGCCTTGTGGCTCCCTTCACCTCTGGTGTTCACCATTTGGTTTGGGGAATACCACCACGACAGGCACCAACCACCTTGCGGCCGCAACTCAATGCTGCAGCTTTGGCAATGGAGATGCTGAACATGGTCCATTAGAAGTCAATGTCCCCAGTCTCCCTCTGGATGCTGTTGAAGCTCTGCCAGAGGTGTGTGTTGAAGATTTCACGGACTGGGGCCTCTGCGAGGCATTCCCAGCACACCCTCACTACACGTTTAGGTGCACCGGGTCTGTCCAGCGTCCTCCCCAGCTCAGCCCCTCTCTTTACCTGAGTGTCCAGAACATATGGTCGCAGGTCTGGTGATACGATTACAAAATCGATCATCGACCTGTGGCCTAGAGGGTCCTGGTGCCACGTGCACTTATGGACACTTTTATGTTCGAACAAGGAGTTTGCTATGGCCAAACTGTGATTTTCACAGAAGTCCAATAACAAAATCACGTTCCTCCCAATCACGCCCCTCCAGGTCTCGCTGTCGTTACTCACGTGAGCATTGAAGTCTCCCAGTAGGACAACAGAGTCTTCAGTTGGAGCACCTTCTAGCACCCCACCCAGGGACTCCATGAAGGCTGGGTACTCTGAACTGCAACTCGGCGCATAAGTGCAGATGACAGTCAGGACTCGTTCCCTGAACCTAAGGCGCAGAGAACAAACCCTCTCATCCACCGGGAAGAACCCCAATGTACAGGCAGCAACCCGAGGGGATAGTAGCATACCCACCCCAGCCCACCAAACTGAGATAGAGTCCACCCCCTCTCCAGGAGACTGGCTCCAGAGTCCAAGCCATGCGTAGAGGTGAGCCCGACTATATCTAGCCAGTACCTCTCAACCTCACGCACTAACTCAGGCTCATTCCCCACGAGAGAGGTGACATTCCATGTCCCAATTGCCAGTCTTGGTAGCCGGGGATCGGTCCGCCAGGGCATCTGCTCCTGGCTGTCTCCCGGCACACAATGCACCCGACCCCTATGGCACCTCATGCGGGTGGTGGGCCTGCAGGAGGATGGGCCCATGTCCCCTTTTCTGGCTGTGCCTGGCTGTGCCCCATGGAATAAGGCCCGACCACCAGACGCTCAGCCTCGGGCACCCTCCCCAGCCTGGCTCCAGGGCGGGGCCCCGGTAACCCTATCCCGGGCAGGGTAAACTGTTCTCTCAATGTTTTCCTAATAAGTGTATTCGTGAAAATGTTGCACTGTTCCTTTATCAGTGTCTAACAGT